TCAATCCGGATCGATAGAGCCGGAAGTCGACGTTTAAAGGGACCTGCGCAGACGAATAGGTAATAGCCCGCCATTTTGAAATGGTGGCTGATTTGTTTTGTTACGGGGTATTGATCTCTTTACACCCCCCTACCCCTCACTACCAATTTAGCCACTCCGAATATATGAAAACGTCAACGGGAAACACCAGAGGTTAAAATTTGAGGGGTTTTTTTTTTTGGGGGGGGGGGGGGGGAGGGGCAAGTAATCTTAAATACGTAAACAATAATGTCTATGAAATATAAACAACTTAAATTTATATACATACTTAAATAAAAACCTAATATTTAAGAAATAAAAAAAAAAAACTTCCATACGAACGTAGTAAAATTACGGTTCTTAGACCACGTTTGGTCATTTTGAGCAGATGTTAAACAGCGATTACTACGAGTAGCCCTTAGTTATGTGAGGGGCTCACTTTATTCTTTTTACCACACATCGCGAGTGTTTATCTTTGTCCATTTACAAATAGCCGGCCCTCTATTATTGCTTCCCATGCACAATGAATGAAGTCACAGAGCGTACGTTCAGTGTTTCTTCCAGACTTTTTCTCCAGAAGGGGGGGGGGGCACTTGTTATTTTCGGGGGATGGGGGGCGGACACTAGTAACAGTGTGTGTTTACTATATAAATTTATCTCGTTCGGCGGGGGGGGGGGGGAGGGGGGGGGGTAAACTTCCTTCTAGAATCTAGATATAACCTCCAACAACCTTGTTTTGAGTCTCTGACAAGTGGTGCGCCATCAATTCAAATGATCTCACAACGATACTGGGAATTTCCGATTTTAATCATATAATGGGTTTTATTTCTCAACATGCCGCCGTCAAATATTTTCTTTTATACTTTTAAAATACATCATAAAAAAAAACGAAACAAAAAAGATACTAAGAAACCCTTCAAAATAATAACAGTTCATGAAACGCATTGTATTAATAACTTGAAAGGATTTGGTTGCTGACATATCAATATAAGACATTGTTATTTAATAAGAAGGTGTGGCTTAGCGGACTGATAACACAAATGTTTCGAGTTCGAATCCGTGTTCAAGTTGGTGGAACGGCCTTGAGCCCACGAAGCTCTGATGGGCAGTAAAACTTCAACTATGAGGTATTGTATAGACTATAGCAATATTGTATAGGATTCCTCTGTCCGAGATTCCACCGGCCTCCATCTTTTCTTATCTCCCTTACTACACAATTCCCTGCCCACTGTCCACTACATCCCAATTCCCTGCCCAGTGTCCACCACATCCCTCACTACACAATTCCCTGCCCAGTGTCCACTACATCCCTCACTACACAATTCCCTGCCCAGTGTCCACTACATCCCTCACTACACAATTCCCTGCCCAGTGTCCACTACATCCCTCACTACACAATTCCCTGCCCACTGTCCACTACATCCCTCACTACACAATTCCCTGCCCAGTGTCCACCACATCCCTCACTACACAATTCCCTGCCCAGTGTCCACCACATCCCTCACTACACAATTCCCTGCCCAGTGTCCACTACATCCCTCACTACACAATTCCCTGCCCACTGTCCACTACATCCCAATTCCCTGCCCAGTGTCCACCACATCCCTCACTACACAATTCCCTGCCCAGTGTCCACCACATCCCTCACTACACAATTCCCTGCCCAGTGTCCACTACATCCCTCACTACACAATTCCCTGCCCAGTGTCCACCACATCCCTCACTACACAATTCCCTGCCCAGTGTCCACTACATCCCTCACTACACAATTCCCTGCCCACTGTCCACTACATCCCAATTCCCTGCCCAGTGTCCACCACATCCCTCACTACACAATTCCCTGCCCAGTGTCCACCACATCCCTTACTACACAATTCCCTGCCCAGTGTCCACCACATCCCTTACTACACAATTCCCTGCCCAGTGTCCACCACATCCCTCACTACACAATTCCCTGCCCAGTGTCCACCACATCCCTTACTACACAATTCCCTGCCCAGTGTCCACCACATCCCTCACTACACAATTCCCTGCCCACTGTCCACTACATCACAATTCCCTGCCCAGTGTCCACCACCTCCATCACTACACAATTCCCTGCCCACTGTCCACTACATCCCTCACTACACAATTCCCTGCCCAGTGTCCACCACATCCCTTACTACACAATTCCCTGCCCAGTGTCCACCACATCCCTCACTACACAATTCCCTGCCCACTGTCCACTACATCACAATTCCCTGCCCAGTGTCCACCACATCCCTCACTACACAATTCCCTGCCCAGTGTCCACCACATCCCTCACTACACAATTCCCTGCCCAGTGTCCACCACATCCCTCACTACACAATTCCCTGCCCACTGTCCACTACATCACAATTCCCTGCCCAGTGTCCACCACATCCCTCACTACACAATTCCCTGCCCAGTGTCCACCACATCCCTCACTACACAATTCCCTGCCCAGTGTCCACCACATCCCTCACTACACAATTCCCTGCCCAATGTCCACTACATCCAAATTCCCTGCCCAGTATCCACCATCCTCTTCCCTCTACAACTCAACACCAGTTTACCTGGACAGTTTTCTAACCCCATAAAAAGAATCGATTCCTATCTCTCGTTATCGTGACGAGAAATCGTTTGTTCCCTAAACGGCACAAAACAGAGGGATTGTAGTATCGATTTGTTTCAAATCAGCTCAATCTTTGCAAACCGATTCCGTGGGGCCCCAGTGGTTGAAGATTTTTTGCCAATCGCATATATGTACACATGCAGATGCACAAAAAAAAAATAAATAAATAAATAAATAAATATATATATATATATATATATATATATATATATATATATATATATAAACATATATATATATATATTACCTCTACGTTAAAGCAGAGCTTGTTTTGTGTTTTTATACATGTTTTACCAGCCCTCCACACATCAAAAGTACTCATGCACAAATCAATTGGCCAGTGAAGTAGAATTTTATGCTTTGTTGTTATCGTTTTGTCGTTATTGACACGGCTAAATGCATTGAGAGAGAGAAAAAAGGGCATGACGTTCTAGAGCAGGGGTCTCCAAACTATGGCCCGCGGGCCGCATCCGACCCGCGAGGTCCTCTCATCCGGCCCGCGGAGATCTTTTTGTCCACGGAAAAACGTTTGTTGGTGATGGCTGAGGAACTTTGCCCAGAAAAATCAAAGACATGCCTGGAAGAAACTGGCCCCCGCATTGAAATTTGATAGTTAATGCGGCCCTCGCACTGAAAAGTTTGGAGACCCCTGTTCTAGAGTAAAAAAAAAATTTGGATGCTTTTTTGGGTGAACCTCGATAAGGAAATTGGGGTTTTAAATTATTTTGAGAATATCAGGTTTGTGAATGAGTCGGGAATGTTAGGTTTGTATTTTTTAATGAGTCGGGAATGTTTGGTTTGTGTTTGTGAATGAGTTATTAAATTTTAGGTTTGTGTTTGTGAATGAGTCGGGAATGTTAGGTTTGTGTTTGTGAATGAGTCGGGAATGTTAGGTTTGTGTTTGTGAATGAGTTGGGAATGTTAGATTTGTATTTTGAATGAGTCGGGAATATTTGGTTTGTGTTTGTGAATGAGTTATTAAATGTTAGGTTTGTGTTTGTGAATGAGTCGGGAATGTTAGGTTTGTGTTTGTGAATGAGTCGGGAATTTTAGGTTTGTGTTTGTGAATTAGTTATTAAATGTTAGGTTTGTGTTTGTGAATGAGTTGGCAATGTTAGATTTGTATTTTTGAATGAGTCGGGAATGTTTGGTTTGTGTTTGTGAATTAGTTATTAAATGTTAGGTTTGAGTTTGTGAATGAGTTGGCAATGTTAGATTTGTATTTTTGAATGAGTCGGGAATGTTTGGTTTGTGTTTGTGAATGAGTTGGCAATGTTAGATTTGTATTTTTGAATGAGTCGGGAATGTTTGGTTTGTGTTTGTGAATGAGTTATTAAATGTTAGGTTTGTAAAAAGAGTTAGGGAATGTTTGTTGTGTAACTGCTTAGCAATGAATGGTTGTCCTTTGTTATCATTTGGCTGGGCGATGCTGGTTTAGTAATGAATAGCTGTAGGTAGTGTTAGGTTTCCATGAGTTCACTGGCAAATGTTGCGCTTGTACACGCGTAAGGGATTATTATTGTTGTAGATTGGTTAAAAACAGCAGGGGTTAGACTTAACTGGGATTATAAGATTAGTGTATTGAGCAATAGTCGGCAAATAAAATTAATTAGTCGTGTCGTGTCTGTTAGGTTTGTTTAGCAAGAACGAACGTCAGTTGAAAAAGAGTTTAGCACACACATACACACACACACGCACACACACACACACACACACACACACATATATATATATATATATATATATATATATATATATATATATATATATATATATATATATATTTATATATATATATATATATATATATATATATATATATATATATATATATATATATATATATATATATATATATATATATATATATATATAAGTATCGAAAAAGGACGCATTATTTTTTCTCCTTCTCTTTTCGAAGAGACGAAATGGCTTTAGAGCCTTATTGCCCTTATGTTAAAAACCACTCTCAATCCCTAGTCCTTACAATAACTCCAGAGTCTCTTCCAGGCATCTATTCGGGGGGGGGGGGGGAAGTGGCGGAGCCCGCCCTGAAGAAAGCCTAATCCCCCCCCCCCCCGAACGAAATGGAATTTATATAGACAATATATACTTTGACAGTGTCCGCTCCCCCCCCCCCCCAATTTTAGTCCGCCCCCCCCCCCCCCTTTAAAATTTCAAGTGTCCCTCCCCCCTCCGGAGAAAAAAGTCAGGAAGAAACACTGATTAACTCTAACCTTAATCTTGGCAACTATAATTGTTTTTTTTAATATGGTTACATCATACTTTACAACACAATTAATTACAGAGGTGGCGTCTAATTAAATTTTATGAGCAGGCTACTTACAATTACAAAAATCAATCACAATTTTTACAGTATCCAGTTAGTCATTGATCTGATCATTGAGAAAACACAGAGTGAAGAAATCCGCGGAGAACATAAAATCCTGGCACAAAACGATGGGACACACGGAGGATTTATTGCTCCGCGGAGTACAAAACATAAAAATAAAAATCCCACACAAATCGAAGGCTTGGTGGGACGCGGACATGCGCGCCTGCCAACTTCCTGCAAGTTCTGGGAGAGAGGCGACATTCCTCAGACTATTTCAGCTGTCTGGTCAATGGAACGTGGAGGGCGGGGGAGGGGGGGGGGTTTACAAGAAGGTGGGGGTGGTACCTTGTCATTCTTGTAATAGTTGAACATATTTCATTTGATATATAACTTTTAGTAAACACCTCATTACGTAGGCCTACATGGTAAGAAACATACAAAAATGAAGTTTGTTAACTAAAGATTCAAGTGGATTACAAAGCTAGATATTGTTATTTAATATTATCTGCAAAATAAACCGGGAGTGTTCTCCCCTAAACTTTCTCGATTATTCTTATATAACACTACGAGGGATAGCAACGCGGGATATAGACAGGATCTTTATACCATTTTTAATTACTTAAACTTTTAAAATAGAATCTCGTAGAAAACAAGTTAATAAAAAGTCTAGTGACAATTTAAGCGCAATTTCCTTATGTTATCCATAACAATTTTAAATCAGCAAATAAATAATGCAACACAAGTAGTTTTAATAATTCAAAACAAAATAGAAAAAATATTTATTAACGAGATTTAAACAAATTTGCGGACGTGTAGGGGGTGTTTAGTTGTCGCGCTCTCTATATTGCTATATAGTACTGTAGTGTATTATGTATAATGTAATTTTTAAAAAAAAATTTGTGACCGAACGAAAGGATATTTTTGAAAACTTTCTTCCGCAATATTGTTCTACATTATGGCAGGAATCGATTGGTAAATGTTTCTAGTCGCTAAGTGGTCTGGTTGCCGAGATATGGGCCAAAAACTGCATTTTTTCGAGTTTTTTTGGCTTTTCCGGGAAATCCAGGAAGGAATTCCGGGAATTTTTTGGCCCACAATCATCCTCTGAACTTGCTTAACATATTTGCTTTGGAACTAGTCCTCGATATTGCTTCGTTGAGGAGGAGATACGACTTAAAGCTGTGGTAAAGCTGCGGACACACATCCAGAAATGACGAATTAATAATCGCAATTCCAGTATGGAAATTGCGCTAAAAAGAATTGCGCACAAAGTGAACGCCAAACAATATGTGTATAATAGTGCGGAATATAATTTGTACTTTATAAATTCACATGCGTATTTTGAGAAATCGGAAATAGCTTAAATTACTACTTCCAGTCAACGGAAGTTACTCAAAATTTGACAGAAGGCAAAGAATTAGATCTTTTACTTCTGAAACAATACTCAAGTTATAGTCCTTTGAAAAACTAAAAGTAGAATAAGTCCCACTTTCGTTAATCAGAAATGGCTGAAAAGTTAATACAGAACTACAAATTTATTTTATATAATACTTTATATGAAATTTCATCAACCTAGCCGTAATAGTACTCAAGTTGTCGTGTTTACAGACATACATACTCTCTCTCTCTCTCTCTCTCTCTCTCTCTCTCTCTCTCTCTCTCTCACACACACACACACACGATAGAATTGCAAAATCCAGTTTTCCGACTCGATTTCGCATAAAACGCCATAATTTTGATTAATCTGGAATTAGATTTTTTGGCCGATTAAAGTAAGTCCCCTATACTCCGTTTATGAGTAAGTACTGAGGTGTAAAACGGTGTAAACTCTCTAAATTTTATGTGATTTTTGTGCACGATTACAATACTTCCTATCATATATCAACTTGACATCGAAGATTGATGTAAAAGTAAATCTCTCCTGGAGGAATTGATAAATCTTACGGCAGATTAAGTAGAGACCGAGACCATCTGATAACCCTCGCTATATATATATATATATATATATATATGTTACCTAGGCAAGTTGCATACCCTGCTCGCAGCGCCAAATGTAACGAGACTTATCCTGCTCGCAGAGCCAAATGTAACGAGTCCCCGAGTCTATCCTGCCGACAACGCCAAATGTAACGAGTCTCTGGCTACCCTGCCGACAACGCCAAATGTGACCTTCCCGAGTCTAACCACTCATTCCACACAACATTGACCACAGCATAGATACTCGAAGATGCAGGTTCATTATTGATCCTTTTATTACATGAATCAAAGAATGCTTCACAATAATATAATGAATCAAGAGAGATGTTTCACAATAATAGTCTGAATCAACGGACCCCCAACAGTCCTCACTAGGCTTCATCTAACTGAATACACATGTCTAACGTCCTTCCTTAACACAATATAACCAACTTGATACTGCCACACAGACTCACTGATCGAAAGCGAGCGAGAGAGAGACTGACGGACTGACTGACAGACCTTCCGAGACTGACTTTCTGAGAGACACTTTCTGAGAGACCTCGAGCTCAGCCGTCGCCTTCCTTATATCCCCTTCATAATCGTACTCATATTCGGTCCTATCATAATCGTAATTGTAATCGATTCTAATCGTTACATCAGACTGTTAATTACGCCGCTTCTGTCGTACAGTCCGATTTTAATAAGCCACCTGCATCCTGTCACATCAAAGTTGACAGACCGTCTTTCGTATCGCTTCCCGAGATATTACGCCTTGGCATCAGCCAACACCTGCACTGTGACGTCAGACTGTAACACGTTATGTCTCTTGGTAACTTCCCCTAGTTACATCCACCCCTGCCTTTTTTTGTGTGTTATCAACCACAAACAACGCTTGGCAGGTGCAGTCCTTCAAAGTCCATCGCACCACCGTAAAAAAAAATCCATTGTTCCACTCACTGTCAATGTCGTCACATTCGTATAAGATTGACAGTTATCCCTATTTCACATATCCAATGTGTCTACATCATCTTCCTCAGACACAAAACAGTTCTAGAATTCACATCCACCTTTTTTCGTTTGGTGCCTTCACCAGTTCACTTTTATGACTTTTTGAACAGTCTGTTTTCATACCAGCGCGACCATGAAAGAATTGATGGTTGCTGACAAAAAATTTCGTATTCTTTCTGTTTCTCAAACTTCTCCGCGGACCACTTATCTGATGGTCTACTGTCTCTCTGCTTTTGGAGGGACCGGGATCCTCCTTGTTGCCGGTAACCTCCCCTTGTGTATCGCTGTTGCGCTGTTGATGGTGACATGGTTCCGGGATGGGTATGTGAATTTCCGTTATAGTTTCCGGTTCCCTAATTGTCTTGGATTTCCCTGTGTGTAACTGCTCTTCTTGACTATGACAATATTTCTTTAATTGAGCAATATTCGCCCACCGATCCGGTTTGGTGTGATCGATGGGTCTTATCTTAAAGGGGCCACCTGCTACTTTAGGCATCTCCACGACTTGCCATATCTCCTGTCCCCAGAGGTCGTGGATTTTGTTTCTGCCTAACGGGTGGCTACGCAGTAATACCCTGTCGTTCAGTTTGAGTGGCGGGTCCTTTGTCTGTACCGGCGGTTCCCTTCGCCGTGCTTCATGTTCTAGTCTTTCCTGTACTACCCTGTACATTTCTCTAATTCGTCTCATATGTTCATTCACATATTCCAGTGCAGTGTATGAGCCAGTCATACTCTCCTTTTTTCCTAGGAACAAGTCAAGGGGGAGTCGAGCCTCCCGTCCGAACAGCAACATGTATGGCGAAAAGCCGGTTGTGGCATGGGGTGTGCAGTTGTATAGATATACCAACTCTGGGAGAAAATCAGGCCAACGTTTTTTCCGTTCAGGTTCTAGGGTACGCAGCAAATCATGCATGCTGCGGTTGAACCGCTCGCACTGTCCGTTTCCTTTCGGATTAAATGTGGTTGTTCTAGATTTGTTGATCCCGTAGTGGCTGCACAGTTGGTTAATTACTTCTGACTCGAAGGCCCTTCCTTGGTCAGAGTGTAATTGTCTTGGTATGCCATATTTGATGAACCAATGTTCTATTAAGACCTTTGCCACTGTTTTGGCAGTCTGATCTCGTGTGGGCACCGCCACAGTCCATTTGGTGAAAACATCAGTCATTACCAACACATGTTCCGTCCCATCCGATGATTGCTCCAACGACGTAAAGTCCATAGCCACAATCTCTAGTGGTTTTGTCGCTAGTAGGTGTCCTGATGGCTGTCTCATTTTGACAACTGGCATTTTCGCATGCTGACACCTCGCACAAGCCTCACAATGGCGTTTGACCTCCATTTCCATATTGGGCCAGTAACACCTCCGTCGTAATATTTTGTGCGTCCTGTCCTGACCCTGGTGTCCTGCCCTGTCATGTGCCAACCTTAGCACTTCTTCTCGTAATTGTCCAGGCACCACCACCTGGTGTATTGTCCCATCAATTTGGTCATGAATTCTCCGCATGAGAACACCATCCTGTATACTGAGACGGTCCCACTGACTCAGTATTTTCTTTGTTTCTCGACCAAATTGTTCTCTTTCCCTTCTTCCTGGGAATTTTTGTTCCTGGACGTGTTTCAACAGCGGCTGTAAGCCACTATCCGTTCTCTGGGCATTTCTTATCATTCTGTGATTAAGGCAATTAAAATCACCAATGTCCATATGTCCGGGCTCTGTGGAAATGTGCTCCACCCCGGTCTGTCCGTTTTGCCTCACTTGCACCCCGTGAGGGATATCTGTTGACGCTCTGACCTCACATATTCCTGTCAGCGTTTCTTCCTCATCGCCCGGTCTCTCGTAAGGATTCCTTGATAAGGCGTCCGCATTGCCGTTGGACCGCCCCGGGCGATATTTTATCTCTAGGTCAAAGAGTGCCAATTCTGCTGCCCATCGCTGTTCGATGGATCCCAACTTTGCTGTCTTTAGGTGACTCAAGGGGTTATTGTCAGTGTATACCACACATTTAGCACCTAATAGATAGTCCCTGAATTTTTCCGTCACAGCCCATTTTAATGTCAAAAGTTCTAGTTTCATGGCGCTGTAATTTGTCATGTT